CTGATTTTGCAAACTGAAACTTGCAGTGTTAATGATGATGGCATATTCCTTATCCAATACTTCCCTCCTTCCCATTTTTGCAATGCCCTTTTACTAAAGTTTTTTTACAACCTTTCAAGCAATCTTTGCAACTTTTTTCACTTTAAAAACATAATCTGAAAGGGAAAAAGAAAATTAATTAAAAATAAGATTTAACAAAAAATTAAGAAATATCTTTTAAAAATATGTTACAGTTCAGTTGCAGACACTTAGCAAACAAGACATTTAGCCGACAATGCATTTAATTGACAACATGTTTAGCTGACAAGTACATTTAGATAAAACATGCCACAATGTTTTAGTAAATTTTGTCCATATTTATTTATACAACTTAATGTTTACATCAGTAACAGAATTACTTAAATTCTCCCCAAGTTAAACTTTTTAGTCATTTTTCTCCCAATTAAATACAATTCACGGCTTGATTCTTAGATCACAGTTTTGACTTTATTTCTTTAGCAATTTCAGCATATCATATTAATGTAATTCGACACATATTACCATTGTACTTTTTCGTCAGGGATCATGAATTATGTATTCGAAAAAGGAGAAATAAAGATGTTTTTAATACCACAATAGGACTTCAATAGGACAAACTTAACTTTTTTAAATGTTGGTGAAACAGAATGTGAGGGTTTGATTTCAGTCATCTTTAATGTTGAAAAGTAAACTCCAATATGCTTGACAAACGCTTGCTTGCATGCAATGAGATAAAAAAAAAGTCTTTTCCCTAAAAGTGCATCTACTTAAGTGCAAGGTATACAAACGGCATATCCTTAACAGCCCTTAAGTTACCAATGGGTTGCTATGGTATAGTACATGCCATAACAGAATGACATTGGATATGACATTGGATCTGCAATAATTATCTATATAGCTTCTTCATTTAGTCAACTAGCTGGTGAAAGAGTTTTCTTTCACATTAGCAAAATTTTTCTTCTTTGGTTAATGGCATTAATTTTCGAATCTAGAAGTTAAAGATATTAGAATTTTGAAAGAGCTGCGAAGGAAAACTCAAAATTTTAAAACCTAACATTTTCAATGTTTCTTACTATTTTTCTCAACAGATCATGCTATAATTGTTTTCGGTTTTTCACCCACTGCTTCCCATATAAAACTGTTTTGCACCTCCCACTACTGAAATTTTCTTTCCTCCTTCTGAAGTAGAGTCACTTAGCAGACACATCCATTTAGCAAATCTCTATGCTAATTCACATTTTTTTTTTATTCACATATTTTGACAAGCAACTACACTTTTTTGCATTTCTTCATCAATGTTTGACTTATGAAATTAAAAAATCGGGAAGATTTGGAATAAAACTTTGATTCTGAAGGCATTCCTCCATGGAATTCCTCTTCTGAGGAGTAAAACAATTTATATGGAAGATAATGAATGGGGAAATTCGAAGAAGAATCTGTAAGGGAAAATAGTACCAAAATGTGGAAAAGATAAGCTATTAATACTGTGAAGAAATGTAATTTTAAAAAATGAAGGACATTTTTTTTCATGTGAAAGATTTTAAGGAAATCTAGGATACAAATTGAAGATGATTTATGAATAATGTTCGCAGATATAAAATCAAAATTATGATTAGGTGCCCGGCTGGCATTAGCTACAGAAGATTTATTCATTTCCCTTTTCAAACATAAGATTCATGTTCCTTGATGGAAACTTTCAACTTTGTCTGAAGTCAAATCACTCTGAACAGATACGTTATAAATTCACTGAGTATTAAAAAAATTAGAGATGGATATTTAAGAATCAAAATGCAAATGAGCTGAAAATGAGTTCATAGAGAATCTGAGAAATCTGGTAACTAGGTGAAAAGTTATGATGACAATGTTGGCAGAATTATTTCTAATAATGAAATGTTGGATAACTTTTTTGTATCCTATGTCAAAATTAAGATCAAGTGTCCTATTGTAATATAAAAAAATTGCCCATTTTTTGGGGGGGGAACATATGATTCATACTCCCAGATGAAAAATTTCAATTTTCAATTAATTTGGTGGACAAATAACAAACCACATTAACATAATATGCTAAAATTCCATAAAAATTAGTCAGAGGTGGGATTTTTAAGATTCGAACAAATTTTCCTGAGAAATGGAAAAATGATGTAAGAGTTGTACTTTTGCAAAACTCGAGCAATTTCTGCAATTGATAAAAAGATAAATATTCATAGGATAAATATAGACGAATTTTACTACAGCATTGTCAAATAATTTTCTCTTGTTGTTGACTGACCCTTTACAGTCATATACTCAAAAGCTGCACAGAAAATCAGCGAATTTAATTACTTTTAAATATATACACACCCAAAGAAATACAAATTTTGTAGACTTGTTACTTAAACATATAAAATAAAATTTAATGCTTCTAATAAGTCTCAACAATTATCAAAATACATCATGAATTTACGACTCTGATAGGAACAAGTTTTTAAAAGTCGCTTAAATGACAAAAGCCTGGAGATTGTATTCAGAAGTGCATGGATATATTAATCACTAACAAAGAAACATTGTTATACCCTTTGTTAATTTGCATTCAGAGCATAATCTAGTCATCATAGAATACTTTATTTGTTCCATTTTAATGCTTTTATTTATTTTTCTTTTACTCACCCTGCTGAATGTTACAATGGGAAAAAAAAAAAAAAAAAAAAAAAAAAATAAGGGCTTAATTTTTTTCATGTTCTTTTGACTTCTTTTTTCCTCCATAGGCTTCAGCATTTATCAAATACTACAAAAACTTCACTTTTTTAAATGTTGGTGAAACAGAATGTGAGGGTTTGATTTCAGTCATCTTTAATGTTGAAAAGTAAACTCCAATATGCTTGACAAACGCTTGCTTGCATGCAATGAGATAAAAAAAAAGTCTTTTCCCTAAAAGTGCATCTACTTAAGTGCAAGGTATACAAATGGCATATCCTTAACAGCCCTTAAGTTACCAATGGGTTGCTATGGTATAGTACATGCCATAACAGAAAAGAAGCCAAAATCTTTCAAGTTATATCACAGGGGAATATGTCACAGGACGCAAAATTTTTCAATCCAAGACTGAGCATATCCATCATGCAACTTGTGCTGTACTCTGATGAATGCTATCTTTGGTATCTGAACACTTTTCCACTTATGACAGATTACTGCTAACACACTATACATAATAATAATACAAGAATGGTAATTCAGCCTTGGACCAGGTGTTCAAACTGTAGTGTCCATGGAAGAATGAGAAGATTTTTTTTTGTTTTGTTTTGGCTCGCTTCAGAATATAGCATGATAATTCAACCAATTACATATACTAATAAACAAAGTATACTAAATTTTGAAGCAACCATGTTTCTCTTACAGATAATGATACAATTCCACAATGCACTACATTGCATTATTTTGCTAGTGCAATTACACTATGGCTATCTGGTTAAGGGGATGGATACATTTTCAAAAGTTTTTCTTGGGGTAAATTAGTTTGTATTCACTTTCAAAAGGGGAAGCCATGAAAAATCTATGCAGCCACCATTTTGATCAGAAACTGAGCTACCAGAGTTTGGTGCTCTTATCTTCTCAGCAGATGATGGGTCCCAATTAAAAAATGACTCAGCCTTCTTATGAATGGAACAGTAAAAAATACCAGATGCTGAGATATTCAGTTGTCTTCAAACAAACCATGTATCCCAATTTCCAAAACTGCTAGTGATCGCAATATGCAATACACGAGCTGCACCCAAACAGTTACCTGTGTACTAATTGTAGACATGTTCTATAAGGATTAATTCACTATTAAAGGGCTTGTACCTGGGACACCCATCAATGTTTCAATATTTAGCACTAGAACCTGGCTTTGTAATCCTAAATTCATACCAAATGGGCGACTACTTCAGAAGATTCTCTGCCAAGCTTTAATGAAATACATACTAAGTTTTCCCTTTATAAGCATTGCATCAGATGGTCTTTAATGTGTGATTTACTGTTTACTACACAATTTATTATAGTTGTGAGGAAGTATAGTAATTGCTTAACACACTGACAACATTCATCTGGCTTACTGTACTTGCTCACAGAAAGAGGAAAACTTGCCACGGGTCCTGATATATTTAATTTACCACGATTTTTACATTTGTTAGCTTCTAACTCAACCACATTTTTTATATGAAAACTGACATTATTTTACTTTAGGATTTTATTTGCTGCTTGAAAACAACATTTAATATATATCAGACTCTTTTACAATATTTCATAGATTATTGTATAACAAAGTATACATTCAAAAACAACTTTTGAAAATTATTACCATAAATCATAGGGAAACACCCATTTAAAAATGTTTTACAAATTTCCAAGAAGAGTAAGTTAATCCTCTCCACAGCAGATAAAATATTTGTAGTAAATAACAATGCTTTGTCAAAATACGTATTAAAGTGATGGTCAAGTTAATGGCTAGAATTTGTGTGCTATTCTGACAGTTAATGGACAAGCATATAAATACAAATGAAAGATTTTCTCTGTCAGAGATAAATTTGTTACCCAAGATATATTTTTAAAACTTAGAAGTACTAATTTATTTTATAAATCATTTCAGTTAAAATTGCCAATAAAAAAACACTGTAAGCACAATTAATGTACAGCCAAAATATGCTAACTCTGAAGTCTTAAATTACAAATCATTATCAGATACTGAAAAATGTCACTGCAAGTAACAGATCATTTTAAATAATTTTAAGCATAATTAATGTACAACTTTTAGCTTTTGCTAAGCAATTTTAAGGTATGGAGGATGATGGGATAATTTATTTAACATATACATTAATAAAATTATAATAACACAATGGAGCTACTACACTTACCACAATATTTATCTGAATTATCACGCACTAAATATTATTTTCTTTCATCTTCATACCACTGAAAGAAATATTAACGAACATATAAATACTTATTATAATATATATATAACATACTTGTGAAGCTCAAGTCCCATTAATTCACAAGATGGCGGGGTGAGTATCTCCTTCTTAATAGATGACTGCTTTTCATTGTAAAAAGATACATCAACATCTGCTTTTGTATTGCTTTTAATGTCATAAAGGCAACAATCATTTGAAAAGTTGTCTTCCATTTTATTTTCTTGGCTGAAATTTTCAGGTGTACTTTGACTGAGAATATGACTATTAGAAAAGCATGTGCTTGGTGGTATCCTGTCAAGTAGTGTTAAATTGATAGAGCACAGCAATTGAGAATCACAAGACTTCTGAGATATGGCATCACTTTCTTTAGTATCTTTTATATGAGCAGATTGTTTAGCAGCATTATTCTCCAGGCAATGTGTTTCAGTATTCACGATTTCAGATGTTGATTTTCTTAGTAAAGAATTAAAATTAGACATGCCATGATTTGCAACAACTTCATTTCTTACTTTCTCAGCAGATGTATCATCTAATGCATGATCTAACCTTTCTGATTCAGAAATGCTGTTTGTTACAATAGTCTGTGCCAATGTGGCACATGTTTCCTGAATGCTTTGTTGATGATTATCAGATTTATTTGCATCAAATAAAGTGTTTTCAGATTCTGAACACATTCCATTTTTCCTCTCCTTTTTAAATGAATGTTTAAACTTGGTAGAATAAGTCTTTTTTTTACATTTCTTTGACACAGACCTATTAGCTACAGATTGTGTACTTAAAGGCACTGTTTCGCATCTGATAGTGTCATTTTTATTTTGAGATAAATCACTACTGATTTGGGACAGTTCTTTTTTATTACCTGGCAGTTTGCTCAAGCGAATTTTAATTATACCATTCTTTATCTGACAAGAACCAACAGTAGAATCAGTGGAGAGGACTTTTGAAGTCGAAACATCATTTATTGATGATGACCCTTCAGAACACTCATAAGTAATGGGAATACTAGGAAGAAAAAAGAACTTCAGCAAATACTAGATAACATGAAGCAACATACAAAACACTTTTATTTTAAATAGCTAATAAAAAATAAATACTTTACAAACAATGCTCCCCATTTCCTAAAAAATAAGGACAAGAAATAAAAACAAGTAAAACTAACCTCTCATACATCTTTCTCTTTTTCTTCTTAGATAACTTTTTAGATTTAATTTTGACTTGAAAAAGAGGCAGTTGATGGGGTGTAAGACTGTTCTTAGATGCTTTTTTCCCTCCATTACTCCATTTATAACAATCTGATTCAAAGTCTTTTTTAATCTGTGAGGATAAAAATAAATGCAATGAAATGACTAATATTCGCAATCCAACACTAAAGCTTCCTAAGCCTGAAACTGAGCAAACATAAAGCAAAAACATAGCTATAATAAAAATATTTGAAAATAATTACAACTGAATAAAACTATGTATCAATATTTGTTACTCTAAATTACATGTTTTATTAACAGCTAAAAATAACATTCTGAATAATCTAATATACATTCATATGACACTCCAACACAATCATGGATTTCAGTAACACGAATTGTTAACGAATGCTAAGTATAATATAAAGGAAAATCTTACCCAAAAAAGTGTCTATAAATTCTAGAATAGTATTTTAGAAATTATGGAAGAAGTTTGGAAAGCTTATTATTTAACAAATGTATCTTCACAGCATAGAATTTATTATTACTGTTTTCATGAAAAATATTTCAGAGGTCACTTTGGAAACACCCAAGTTTACCAAAAGTCTTATGTTTCACATTTCTCTCCTTTCTCTCTTTTTAAGTGTTGTTCCCATTTCGCAAAGAAATATAGCCCTGATTAAATAAGAAACTCTTGCCAATCGACGTAACACAGAATCTTTCATTTATCTTCTAAATCAGCATTCTTTGACTAATGCATACCATCTAAAGGAAATAGAAACACTTAAGTTATACCTCATTTTACAATGATCATTTTTCAATTTCTCAATAGATGTACTGTTTACCATGTGCACAAACTATTGGCTATTTGTATTAAATATGCACATGTAAAAAAAAATCAAAAATTGATTACCATGTTAATTACCAAAATTTAATTTGTAATACTTTAATTCTAAAATTTAGTGTGAAATTTGGGCCTGTTTAAGAGACATCAATTTCTTTATGTCTCATCCATTTTCACTTAGTTTTAACCATAAATTAAGATTGAATTTTAATTTTGTTCTGTATTTATTTTTCACATACAACATGGAAGAAAATCCTTGTTCACACAAACCGGTCATGCAAAAAGGCAATAAAAATTTAATAGATTTTTTTAAAATGCCTTTAAATTCATTTTTTGAGTTCAGCCAAAAGTTATTGTGTTATTTTGGAATCTTCAGTTAGAGTTCGATCACAGGAAATTTCTATCTTTCTCATAAAGATGAGATAAAATTTCAGGTACATTTGAACAACATGGATTTCTGATGCTATTTTCATTTTTATAATCCTCTAGAAATACTTGTGTAAATTATTTATCAATGAACAACAATGATTTTTTAATGTCAGATGCTAATTCTTTTATTTTCAAATTATTTTCAGTTAGGAAACTTTCTAAAAGTGGTAAAAGCTTAAAATATTATCCAATTCTTTGATTATGGATGGGGTTTTTAATGTGAACAACCCACATCAATAGCTGATATGATATACATCAAGCAGATATCATTTAAAATATTTCATTTTTGTGATGTTTCAAACATTTTTCTGACAAAGGTTTGTTTTAAAACTTAACAGTGCTCCAGAGTAAGTTTTTTTGGTAAGTTATATAGAGTCATAATCTCTTGCTCTGTAATACAGCTCTTTTCTAAAAAACTTAGGTATTTTTCACCATGTTTCAAACCTTCATTAAAAGATATTTTCTCACTCCTATCAAAGTCACTATCTGTGTCAAGTTCAAAACAGAGCCAGTAATTTCACCACTGGTCATTTGATAAGTCAGTGTTGGCTCATCTGGACATCATCCATGTAACGATATCTTTTAGCAAATTTTCATTTGTTCTTTCTTTGAAATGCAGAATTTGCTTGAAATGAAATTCTCTTGCTTTAACCTTTTCTGCACTGACCCTAAAACCAGAAAATTCACTGTCATCACTCTCAGTTTCAATAAACAGAGAAGACTGCCATACAATACACCACTCATTTACTAATGCTGTTTGGGAAACATAATTCCACAATTCTACTAACAAACATATGCAGTCTTTGATAAAATAATGTTTTTCAGAAACTCTGATTTGCAGTGGTATTTAATACTATGTATTATGCCCTGGTCCACATGTTAAAATGGTTGCATTTGGTTGAGCAAAGCAGTTGTCTAACAATAGTAAAAATCTTGCTATTTAATGCTAACCCCACAATCTTACAATGACTTCTACCATCTTTAATGAAATGTTCCATGAACCATTCAGTCCTAAACTATTTCTTGAGACAGCAATTATTATTTTTCTTGTAAATTACAGGTAAGGATTTTATTCCTTTCAGAACTCTGGGATTGGTGCTTTTACCCACTATCAATGGTTTATATTTGCAAATGTAAACCATTGAGTTGTTCCAGCTGCAACTAAAATAGTAACTCTTTCTTTGTTTTTTTTTTTTTTCACTCCTATGCACACATTGCCAAAAATGTCCAGTCTCGTCTATATTAAAAATCGGTTCCAGGATAAAATTTTCTTCTGCAACCAGCACAGAAAACTGATCAATAAATAGTCAATAAAGTTGTGTTAATTGAATTTTGTAAGCATGAAGACACAGATTTTTTGTGAGTATACGCTGTAGAGAGCTTCTTGAAATTTGCAATTCTTGTCCATGACACCGAATCGATGTTCCTGGGTTTTCAGCAACACTCTCACGCACTGCTCCAATATTGACATTTGAACAGCTTATTTTTGGACGATCGATGTGTTTAGCATCTCCACCAATTTTTCAATTAATCTTTTCACAGTTGACGAGGTTAAAATACTATTTTTACCATATTTTGTATAAAATTTTCGAACTGCAGCCGCCAAACTTTCATTATTTTTAAAATATTGTTCAATAATGAAGACACGTCGTTGTATTGTATAACGCTCCATTTTTACTAACCCTAAACTCTCGGCATTCAAACTATTTTTTCCAGGGTTACCAACAACTTGATGCAAAAATGGCACCAAATTCAAATCTTGCGTTAATTTTGGGACATCTCTTATATACTCTCAGCAAAAAAAAATTTCAGAATTTATTGCATCTGAAGCCTATATGGGAAAATTTATTGGAATATTATTGCTTATAGGATATCCTTCTTTACCTCAAGAAGAAATATAATGGTCTCTTGATAAGGACATTTATGTTCTTATCATACAAGAATCGATATCACGTTTGCAGTACAGGATTATGAAGTGAAATTTGAATTTAGCTGACAATAGTCAAACTGACAATACTGATAAATTAGATAAGGTGAGATCATATCTAAACTTACTAAAAATCACGACTTTTTACTACTGGAAATAAAAAGTTTCTTTTAGATTTTGGGCGCAAGAATGCATTATTCCTTTTGCAAACTCCTATTGAGAGCGTAGAATTAGCCAGAAATAGATCAGCAAACAGGAAGACCTAGTAAATTCAGGATTCAGAAACCACTGAATGGATGGTATTTTATCGTAAAGTCCAATGATAACAAAAGACTTTGTAGTAAAGAGTGCCATACCCAGACTGTTTATAGATGCAAAGTATGTAATGTAGCTTTACATCAAGATTGTAGTGAAACTTTTCATGCTTGAATCTTTCAATTTAAATGATCTGTATTTTGTAAAAGAAATATAATGTATATTTTAATATTAAATTTATTACAAGTAAAGTGATTTGTAGATTCATAAAACGTTATACAGCTAAAAAGTAAGCCAGTGCTCCACTCAAAGGAAACATGGCACGAGTACAATCCTATTCACTAAACATTCCTAGTGTTATTTCGCTGAGGTTGTGCAAATGCAACACTCGCTTTTTCCATAGGTAAGAGCATTTTTTTTTATTTTCAATGTAAATTTATGTTATAAATGCTTAATTTAATATTTGTTATTATTTTCATGAGAAAAGAAACATTCTCTGTAGCTTTGGCAGTTAATGGGTTAACCTATAAACTTAATGTTTAGATTTTGAAAGGATGCACAGATTTTTAGCATTTGACTGTATATTTCAGAGCAAAAGTAAAACCCATACCAAAATTATTAAAGCATAAGTTTAAAGTATTACATTACTTCACAAAATACCTTATAGCATTAAACAATGTACTATAAATAAATACTGGTTGACAAATTTTTAATATTTTCCTTTACTTATATTACAAAATGTGGCAGGACTAAGATTAAATCTGAAGGAAAGCACACCAGAGCCAAAGGTTTTTGTGACATAAACTGCATAACATATAACTTTGCATATTATATTTTGCTCATAGGCAGGTCATAGGCAAAGAACTTCGAACAAAATTTACTAGAAACACATGGAAGGAAAAAAAAAAAAAAATACTGTAAATTTGTAAAATTTCATTTTCATTATCTAGTAGAATAAAGTAGCAAAAGCAGAAGTTTGCCAGAATGCTCTTTCTACAAGTATTTTATAGCATATATTGTAAACACAATAGTTTTGTGTTACGAATCTTATTTGCAATGAATATAAACGTACCGGGATTTACCATTAAATGAAAACAAATAACATCTCTTTAAGACATTAATAACTGCACTGAGTACCACTGCTAACCAAGTTCTCTAACTAAATGCACTGAAGATCAAACTCATTTTAAATTTAACATATTCTACTTTTAAAAAAAGATGCCACATAAAAATCTAACAAAAAGAATACTTCTTATAGATCTTTAAGATTTCGTGTAATTTCTTGTCATAAATCTTATACCTTCTTTTTTTTTTTACTTATATGCACTGCAAAAATTAGAGAACGTTTAGCCTTTAACTGATATGGTATACGTCAAGCATGGGAAAGAGTCAAACCTTTTATGTAATGACGCTTTTGAATACCTGGGAAAGGATGTGTGTGTACCATGTATGTTTCGTTGTACTCATTAATTTCAGAGAAAATATTAAAAAATTAATAATCTTTCCTGTATGTAGGTGACTATACATTTTAAAATACAAAAAAATTTAGAATTTTATTTACAGGTTCGTAAAACACACTTGTACCATTTCTGCATGCATTTCCATACAACAAAAGAAAAAAAAAATAAAAAATAATAAAAAAAATAAATAAATAAATAAATAAATTTCATGCAAAAAG